CTACAGTGTAGAAGACTAGTTAATTCTATTTCAATTCCTTGCTCGGTTCCTATTAATCGTAGTGTGATATTTTACCCGTAGCCTGCTCCAATAAATGGACTATCCAGAAGAAAAAGAATTACTCTATTCGAAGCAGTAGTTTCGGAGATTAATGCTATCAGGCCTCCTCTTCTTGCAGGTGTCGTAAGGGACTGCTCATTTGACAAACACCAGACAACAACATTATCATCATCATCACCTGGGACACGTCCACTGCTAAACAAAAGACTTGATCTTAGTTAGAACGCCAACACATCAATAGTGGCCAATTTTATAGCACGGATAGCAGTGTTCTCTTAAGCCCCCCGTGGCCCGTGTCTTAGGCAGCCTGGTGCGGCAGCCAGTAAAACATATGATGTTGTACAGGAGCCCGCGTATTAGGCAACCACAACTTCCCTGCTGCAGCGGCCAATAGAACTCGCTTGTTTTGCACGGCAGCCGCCTGGTAGCGCGCTGCCAGAACCCGTGTAGACTAATGTATGTGGCTGCGGTCCAGATGGACCGCTGGGCTGCTACAACTAGTGCACACATTTCCATGCAGTAGTAGTAGTAGCCAGACGAATTTTGTGTTCAGAACTTTGAGAAGGTGACCTTCAATATGGAGAACTGGCTGCGCAAATATTCTGGCTGCCGCAGCCAGGCTGCCTAGTGCGCTGAGGACCTTAGGAATTTGAACCTGTTAATTATTTATTTATTTATCTATTTATGCACAACACACAGACAGTACACAGGAGAACACATATATAAATAAATTGGAGGTACATAGGTACTACATATTCCCGTAGGAATCTCTTCCTGCAGTCCTTCGACAGGAAAAACGGTAAAAACAGAGACACTGTGCGTAACATGACATGAAATGTATTAAATAAATAGATCACAATAATATACATAAACCTATACATACATATGATAGATACACATCAAATAATACACATATTAGAGTATATTACAAATAAACATATTATACATACCTATATATATATATATATATATATATGACACTAATTTGAACAAGAAGATTATAATTTTTTTATAAGTGTGACAGTGGGAAAAGGCGCACGGCCTACCTACCTACGGTAAGCGATTACTGTGGCCTATGTACGCCTGCAACACTTGGGGCATTACATGCGCGTTGCCGACCCTTAAGAAAGAAAGAAGAACCCCATGCTGTAGCCCACTGGGAAAATCACGGCAACCTGCCTCCTGTCAGGCATGGATACCGATGGCAAAGCCCCTTATGTAGAGAAGCCCCATAGTCCAATAGTGGCCACTAATAGGCTGTTGATGCCTATGATCAAGGACATTGAAAAGAAGGCGGACATAATGTCACTTATAAATGATTGAAGGACGAAAATGTCAGTGGGTATTTTATGTGTGCGTGTGTAATGAGTTATCACGTTACCAGACTTAAGAAATGACTGGTGTCCTTCGTGTCAATGTGTGTACTGGGTAATGCGTGTAAGTCTATAGTAACCAGGTTTTTAAAGAAAGAAAGAAAGAAATCATTTATTTGCTAATAATGTAGGTATACATATAAGTTGGAATAAAGTTAATTGACCCAGTAAATTTTACCTTTCGGCATGCAAATTAAATTATAATGCGATTTGAATGTCGTCAAATAGATAACTAGGTATACAGTCAAAATTTTAGAATAATTGTAAAAAAAAAATGCTAAAATGCTACGACCAAATATAAGCCATACAAAAAGAAATAATTTATTTTATTTATTTAAATAGGTTAACCAACAATTATTACACTTTTTCATTACTGTTAATAAAAGATATAACACATGTACGAGTATAAGTCGATTCGATTTAACCCACCAATTGCTGTCCCAACTTCTTCCTCAAATTATAGACAAAATTCCTATATTGTGCGAGTGAGTAGGAATTATAATAGATTGTGCAAGGATTTAGGACTTGATCCATTTACCACAAGCAGTTCCAGGGTGCGTAGGCGACTAAACCTAAAATTTTTTGAATGACTATCCATGTTTTATACTTTTATGTGCATTGCATTCGCAAAACCTCTGTAAAGATATACTATAGCTAGACGTGGAAACCTATAATTGGCTTTGTATTGGCATATTCTGAAATTTTATTTTTTGTTTTATAGCTGTTGGTTACCCGAATTAAAATAAATAAAATAAATAAATAAATAATAATCACTTATAGGATATAATAAAATATGATGCAATCTCAACGTGGGTACTTAGTCTAAAATATAATGTTACAAAGTTTATGTCAAGAAATGTCAAATGTTACAATTAACAATAAATTAAGTTATGTCGACGATTGCAGATATCAAACTAACGAAGTATCTTAATTGAAGTCATAATGTAATGCCATAAAGGTCACTAACGCAATCAACACATAAGAGTTTCAATCTGAGCAAGTCATATTACAGTGTTTCCCCAAAGTTTTGCTACTTATTATTATTAAAACGTACCTACATTTTTCCTATAGCGTTCTGTCGTTTATAAACTCTTTGGTGCCACAGTCGTCGTTTCACGAGACTGTGTCTGCCTCTACATATTTCAAAGTACTATCCTTTGACTAATAAATAATACTCAGACAAACAATGAATACATTTGAAAAAAGATGTAAGTTATTATATGTGAAATACTACGACCCACTTATTTCGGATAAAATCAAGACAATTCGAGACGTAATTTACCTGTCAAATAAAACTGAAAGAAATGTCTTTCGAATTTCTTTCGAAGTCTTTTCGTCTTTCGAAGTTATTCCATGTGAAATACTACGACCTACTTATTTTGGATAAAATCAAGAGAATTCGAGACGTAATTGACCTGTCAAATAAAACTGAAAGAAATGTCTTTCGAATTTCTTTCGAAGTCTTTTCGTCTTTCGAAGTTATTCCATGTGAAATACTACGACCTACTTATTTTGGATAAAATCAAGAGAATTCGAGACGTGATTGACCTGTCAAATAAAACTGAAAGAAATGTCTTTCGAATAATGATTCGACATGTTTATTTAAAAACATCAATTTGTATACTTCCGTATGTCTTCATGCCTGTAGGTACATACAGCGAATTGTTTTTGCAAGCATTGACCTTTTTGTTGACTGGACATCTACATTATATGAACTGCTGTTTATGACGATATCTAAGTACGTGTGTCGTCTGGACAATCAACCTCGCTACATCCTTGTTGACTGGACATCTACACTACATGAGCTGCTGTTTACATGTGAACATGCTCATGACGATAACTAAGTACACATTTGTAAATTTTAAGTAAGTACCTACTTTCATTGTTTCAACTATAAAAGATCGAGATTGCTCTAGTTCATAGTGTGTATCGATCACAAAATAACAGTGAATATTGCCATCAGTAAATAATATTACCTTGTCGGCAGAGTGGTCGCAATTGCGACTACCGGGAAGGTGCTTCGGGGTCGATTCCGAGTTGGGAAAAGTATTACTGGGTTGTTTAAAAATATCTTAGTAGTAGCACGGAGTCTGAAAATGAGCCCGGTATATGGCAATAGGCTCACCCCCTATTATATGAGACTAATAGTTAACATGAATAGTGAAAAGTGGGTGTTACATTGTACAGTCGCATTAAATGCCGTAATGTGCACCTCTACCTACCCCTTCAGTGATAAAAGACGTGATGTTATGTTGTCGTTATACTGTTTTATATTCACATTTTCGTTTTTAAATAAATAAAATAGGTAACAAAATCAGTTTATATAAAAACATAAATGGACCTAAAATTGGACCCTGTGGTACACCTGGATATGTCAGTACCCCATGCGTCTGCGTGTACTTTAGGTTGTCTATCATTCTGACCCCGAAGGATACAAAAAACAAAATCTTTTTGACGTCTCCAGTTCTAGGCGACTCGGCAAAACTGTCTAGTAGGTTTTACCATCATGTACTTCAACAGTTGTAGGTAGGCCTTTTCAACTGGTTTGAGGTTTTGCTATCCAAAGTCTATACAGTATGAACTCGAACTTCCATAGATTCTGTGAGGATCGTGCGTCACTATAACTTCAGTTTACGTATCCTTTGTTAATATTGGAAGGGTTTCAATTAAAAAAAAACAAGCATTCTATTTTAACACTTTTATTCTAACAATAGCCTCAGAGTGAACAAAGCAATTTATGACCTTAACTTAAAGATTTGAATACGACAATTGAGAAATAATTTTTTTAGTGTAATTTAAGTTCAGGAACCACCAGAATAAAGTGCCGTAGAATAGTATCTTTACTATAATATCCACGATCACCATTCTGAAAAAAAAGAGAGAAAAGACAAATGAGTACATTTTTTTTGAGTAGGGTAATTTTATCCAATGAATTTTCATTGTGTCTCACCTTGGGTGAGGCGATAGGGAGTGTCAGACTCGCCGTTCTTACACCTGTTTAGAGCCGGAGCCCCGGCAATTTATTATATATATAGGTCTAACTGTGCCTGTGTGATTAGGCGGTAAAAGAGCAGACGGATCACCTGATGGTAAGCAATCGGTGTCGCCCATGGACACCTGGAACACCCGAGGCGTTACAAGTGTGTTACCGCCCTTTGCAGATTAGTAATTTGATGATTGCTGAGTATTCGGGGATTGGACAGTTCAGGAAAGGGGGTAATTAGGCCTCTGGTAACCTTACACGATGAAACACAACGCCAACGTTGTTTCACGTGGGTTTTCTGCTTGGCCGTGGTATCACTCTGGTCGAGCCGGACCATTCGTGCCGAAGCATGGCTCCGTGAGTGGAGAAACAGAAGTGGATGAGGATGAGGTGATCTCCACAATTTCAATTTTTAACTTTAGACTGAGTTTAAAATCGTACCTCCTATAATGTCTCTTGGCCTTCGGGATATCTTCATCCTTTTCATGTAAAAGGTATTTTCTGGAACCTTTTACAGCGTTTATGAAAAATTGGTCTTGCTGTACATTTTCTATGTCATAGTAAAAATGCTGCATATCTTCTTCCTTAATGCAGGATCTCATGAGGACCAGGTTTTTATTGTCAAACGTCCATTGCTTCGTAATGTAGTACATTAACGCCATACTCGCTATATATATGCGTCGTTGGATAGTGACCAGTCTGTTGATAAAAAAAAAACAATTTTATCGATCTACAAATCAAGGTTGACGTTCCATTGATAGTCTGCCTTCCCCTGCGTCCTGCGTCAGGCGGTAGGTGAGGACGCCGTAGCGTCTCTCAAGCCACTCCTCAAAGAGGGGGCTTACCGCTGCAATGGCAGCGAGCCCAGCCCCCGGTTGCGACAGTCGTTGCTGCCATTCCGCCATGAGATCGCGCCGGAGCTCATCCCGCCACGCACTTATCTGGCGCGTCCCCTATGGGATACAGGCTATGTATGTATGCAAAGCAAGGCATATTTGTCCTACCCACACGCACAAAGCGCTTCGCACCAAGATTCCTTGTGCGTACTGCTAAGGAGTGGAATTTTTTGTCAGAGTCTATTTCCTAAAGGGTATTTATTATAACCTGGGTGTTTTCAAGGCCCGAGTGAATAATATCATCGCTTACCACCAGCCGTGCTTTTTACATGTGGGATGACCTTTAGAGTGCGCTGGGGCCCTTGGTCACGCAATAATTCGCGGCCCTTTTTGAAATGTTTCTTTTATTTAAACTTCGTAACACTAGAATTCTCCTATATCGTGAGTGAGGCCAGAAACATACAATTTCGCATACATATGACACACAGATCCGAAGCAACAATTTGGTGATCACACAAAGATTTGCTACGTCACGTACGTAGGTACGTTCGTACTGGAACAAAACCAATAACAATTTAAAAACAGAGAGAGAGAGATACAGAGAAAGAAAGAACGACAGTTATGATAACAACTCTATTATGTATCTACCTGTGATCTACAATGAATAAATGAATTTGAATTTGACAGAGAGAGAAAGGATGATAATGCTGGACAGCCAGTTGCCGCGCAACGTGTAGTAGGTGTATCACCGTTGTAGAAATGGGCACGGGCCTCGAGTCCTTATGGTAAAGACGATACTATAACATAACACGTGAATAGTAGAGGTAGTTTCAATTACTGTAACTGCGACGTATCGCGATATTTCGCAACGCCTGAAAAAGGACGTCAAGCTGTGCCTGTTATTTCATAAGACCTGTAACTATGTATTACCTTAACATGCAAATAAAGACTTTGAGTTTAGAGTTTTTAAATTCTCCACTTACATTGGTTTTTTGCCCGCACACCATAGAATAGTATCCACTAACATGGCTGGCAACAAATGCTGGAATAACACCTGGAAACATAATAAAAAAAATCATTAAAATAATTTAGGAACTAATTAAAAAAAAAATCTCAATAGTAGCACGGAGTCTGGAATTGTGCCCGGTATATGGCAATAGACTCACCCCCTTTTATTACATGGGACTCATAACATAAATAGTGAAAAGTGGGTGTTACATTGTACAGAGTTACAGTCGATTAAAAGGAGGACTGTCACAATCTCCTCACCTTATCGGTCAATCGCAGATCGCAATCCAAAAGATCCAGGTTTATCAGAGATCGCTGCTGCAAAATTTCTGTCAAATGTTTGCTTTCTCTTTAAACATTCATGAGAACAGTCAGTAGGTATGGTGATTTATACGATACCCGTGGGAGGAGAAGAGGTATCAGAAGTTACCTTAATATAGTACACAGTTCTTGAAGTTGTTAAGTCCCCGCCTGGAGCCCAGAGAATATCGTTTAAGGGGTAACTCCAAGATATGAGTTTAGCCTTATTTATCATATCTCCCATAGTAATAGGGTTCAGTTTTCCTGAGCAGCAGTTGTAAATTGGCACATCATCAGTTGGTGAGAGTCTGAAAAGAAAATAGAAAAGAATATAAATTGATAAAATAATTTTCTTATTTTTGTCTAATGATCACAAGAATGCCCATCATAAGACCGGTAATTACAGTCATCAGTCCACCACGGACGGGGCCCAATAGGGCTGATGCCGATGTGGAGCCGAGGAGAACGTAAAAGCTAACCGGAGCTTCGGTGCGAAGTGCAGGAGTAAGAACGAGTTAGTTTTTAGTCAGTAAAAGTCTGATATTCTCTCCCGCTTAACCTGGGCCGGAGAAGTCATTTAATTATTTTCCCTATAAAAAAAAACCGCCAAATGCAAGACGTCCACTACAGTTACTGAACGTAGGAGCCCGCTGATGACTTCCAGGGCCTTAAGTCGGCTATTTTAATAATTGTTGTCATTCCAACACGATCGCATTGTGATTTTGCTAAAAGCTCCCAATCTGCTAAATTCATAATAATTCATCATTCATCGGTCAATGGTCTCGTAATGGAATTGTAGTAGAATGACATTGCCGTATTGCCAATATTATAAAACTTTGTAGTAGAAAATTGTATTCGAAAAACTACAACTTCAACCAGATGTTATTTATATTTTAATTTAGATAGATAGATAGATAGATATTCATTTATTTGCCTGAAATATGGTGGTTTACAGATTTTATGACATAACATTAGTTCATCATATCTCGCCTATAAATTAGGCATGCAAATACTTTAACAAAACTAAATCACAATTTTCAAAAATGATTCTAAGTTAGAACAAACAATCTAAACACAACCCTTGCTAATGATTCCAAATCAAAACAAGACAAACTAAGTTACAATTTCCAATAATCAATAATAACTCTAATTCAAAACAAAAAAAAATATAAACTACAATGTTGTTGAATATCAATAATTGAAAAAGCGGAGAAATTGAAATTTATCAAATATCTATCAGTGTTATGTGCAATCTGAAGTATCTGTCATTACGAACGAGATAATCTCCAGTATCAGTGGTTGACTATTGGAATGTCATAATGACGCGACGCCATTAGAATAATAAATTGTACCAAACTTGTCAAAATCAACAATTTTGAAATCAATGATTTTTCATTCTGACACTCTTGTTATGCAGACTTTGAGTCCTGCTTAGCCGGTCGAAGCTACCGAAGAGTGCTAACCATTACTCAGAATTCCAGTAGGTATATGAACAAGATAGTTCCCAAATCCTGTTCTTGATATGACTGAAGGGAGGCATAAGCCGGTAAACGAGCAGACAGATCACCTGATGGTAAGCAATCAGCGTCGCCCATGGACACCTAGAACACCAGAGGCGTTACAAGTGCGTTACCGGCTTTTTGGGGATTAGGAGTTTGAGGATCGTTGGGGATTCAGGGATTGGGGAGATTGGGGAAGAGGAGGGTAATTGGGCCTCCGGTAACCTCACTCACACGACGAAACGCAACGCAAGCGTTGCTTCACGTCAGTTTTCTGCTCGGCCGTGGTATCACTACGGTCGAGCCGGTCCATTCGTGCCGAAGCATAGCTCTCCCACACTTAAGATTATTCAGACTTATAAATTATATTAGTTGAATGCGATTGTAATTACTTTTTATTCTTTTATAGGAGCCTTATTCCTATTTATCTTTATTATTATATACTACTTTTTATTAACTCATTACCAGTTTGGGCCTGCGTTTTTTTTTAATATCGTCGTCCCATCGAGTAGAGTGTCTACCTCTCTTTCGCTTTCCTAGTGGGCCTCTCCATCTCAGTCATTTAGATAAATAAAAAAAGACAATTATATACCTACCAATTAGTAAGTGTTTAACCGCCAAGCGATCGACATGTAAGAAACCCGCGATTCAGAGAACAAGTGTTCCAACATTCGCTCATAGATGGCGCTTTTTATTTGAGATCGTTTTCTGAATCGCGGTGTTAAGATTCTCCGCCAATAGTATAAGTGTCTAAAGAATTTATTGGTGTAGATATCAATTTGTCACGTGCTATTGTATCGTAATTTTATTGTACAATAATTCGGAATACAAGTGTTTGGTAACCACTACCCAGTACTTTTGTCGCGGAGAACCTAACGGGTAACCGGGGCTCCGGCTCGACGTGCAGGAGAAGGAACGGGGTGGTTTTTAGTCAGTAAGAGTCTAACACTCCCTCCCGTCTCACCCAGGCGGGAGCAGTCATTCGATGATTTTCCCCCCTTAAAAAAAAAACCCAGTACTTTTATTCAAATCAACCCCCAGCTTAACCCTTACGATACCGAGGGTTATCCAGTAAAGCTAAATGTAGCAAGGTCAAATAAAGGCATTTTTATTTCTATTTGTTTTTTATTCATTTTTTTCTTTATTTATTTAGGTATAGGAGCCCTAATTTTTTTAGTTTGGATTTTATGTTTTAGGGGGCTGGTCGTCTACTTACTCCTTAGTTCCTCTCAACCAGGATGCCACGATGAAGCTCTTGATAGAGATATCAACCGGCATATAATCTGCCACCAGGTCAGGGTCTGAGTACATACTTCTTAGGATACCTGGAACATGCATACTGGATCTTGAACTTTATGTAATTTCTTATGCTAGATTTTATAGTATTTGTTGATTAATACGAGGTCTATTATAGAAAAAGGAGTTCAGAAAATTCAAGTGAACGGAGTATCAAAACTTTTGATCAATACGATTCTTAGCAAGTGTGGGAGAGCCATGCTTCGGCACGAATGGGAGCAGTGATTCAATGATTTTCCTCCCTCGCATACGGCCCACCCGATGGTTAGCGATTACCGTGGCCTATGTACGCTGGCAACACTTGGCGCATTACATGCGTCTTGCCGACCGTTGAAAAACCTATTTACTCCCTTCTTGAAGAACCCCATGTTGTAGCCTACTGAGAAAACCATGGCAAGGAGTTTATTCCACAATCTGAGAGTTAGGAAATTCAAGTGAAGCGAGGATCATTTTTATGGCAAAGATTTCAAGAGAGCAGGCCCTTCACCTAATGGCGAGTGATGAACGCCGCCCATGAATCCCCTTAACAAGCATACATGTCCTGGAATACCATTACTCATAGGCCAAAACACCACGCTTCAGTTGATTCACACCGGGTACCTCTCAGACCGTCGTCTCACTTCGATTTCGCGGTCGAGCCGCTACAGCAGTGCCGAAGCATGGCGGTCCCATATCCACTATACTTTCATGACCAGCTTTAGAAGTGTCGTAGAGATGTCGTGGTGGCCCAGGGGTTTAAGTCTTGTCATGCATGAGGGTGCGGTTTCGAAACATACCAACAGCAAGTCATAAGTATGGGAGAGCCATTTTTCGGCATGATAGGCCCGGTTCGACCGGAGTGATACCACGGCCTCACAGAAAACCGACGTGAAGCAACGTTTGCGCAGTGTTTCGTTATTGTTCTCACATATGCGTACAGTATTGAAATATGTATCAGAGACATTGTAGAACATACTTTTTTAAAAAGAGTAACGAATGAAGTTTCTTGCTCGTTCTTCTCCATTCGAATCTACATTTTAGAATGAGCACCTAGCTTCACCTAATTTCACTGACGGACTGACTGACAGACTATTATTTATTTTGTATTTGTTGACGTTTCAAAAGTACTAAACTATGGTTTAATTGAAATAAATGCTTTGACTTTGTGAGTGAGATTACCGGAAGCCATATCCTCAACAATCCTCAAACTCCTAGTCCCAAAAATCTCCGAAAAGCCGGTAACGCACATGTAACGCCTCTAGCGTTCCAGGTGTCCATGGGCGACACCGATTGCTTACCATTAGGTGATCCGTCTGCTCGTTTATAGACTTATCTGATACAAAAAAACAAGTACCAATGTAACTTTTCCGAGTTATATGTACTCTCTAAGATTATTTAGACACCACGGTGAAGGAAATCATCGTGAGGAAACCTAAGCTATATATTTCTAATTATAAGTTTAAAATCGCCAACCCGCATTGAGCAAGCGTGGTGATTAATGCTCAAACCTTCTCCGTGTGTGAAGAGGCCTTTGATCAGCAGTGGGCACTAATAGGCTGTTGATGTTGTAGAAGTGGAACATTATGCTCACCTTTCCCACACCCTACCATCAATCCAACAGGGCCATTGAAGTTCTCAATCCATCCTGACATCGGTTCTTCCACACTTGAAATAACTGAGAACAAATAACAGAACTTGACACACTAACAACAACGTAACAATTAACTATTGGACTATAAGTCTTCTCTAAACAAGAAAGATTATTATTTATTATTTATTTTGTATTTGTTGGCGTTTCAAAAGTACCAAACTATGGTTTAATTGAAACTAGCTTTTACCCGTGGCTTCACTCGCGTCACCAAAGGATAAAAAGTAGCCTAAGTGACATACACCAATACACACAGCGCCATCTTTACCAATACTTTTGTTTTCCCTCGGGAATATCAATTTTTGTGGGATATAAAGTACTGTATTATTTAAACTGTCAAACACCAAGCGGTCACCGGTGACCGCAATCTATTGTTCTATAATTGTGTCTACAAAACCGGTACTCGACGAGTTAATCCGGACTTCTAACTTTACGTCTGCAAAAATTCAAAGCAGTCGGTTTAGTAGTTACGGCGTGAAAGCGGAACAAACAAACAAACTCACTTTCCGATTTATAATATTAGTAAGGATATATTTGACTTTGACTTTGATTTGGTAGGCAGAGATGCACATTACGGCACTTAATGCCACTGTACGTGTGTAACACCCACTTTTCACTATTTATGTTATGAATCCCATGTAATAGGGGCTATTGCCATATACCGGGCACAATTCGACGCCGTGCTACTACTAATATTTAAAAAAAAACACAGTAATATTTTGCCCGACCCGAGAATCGAACCCGGTACCCTTTGCTTGGCGGTCGCACTTGGGACCACTCGGCCAACGAGGCAGACAGATTTGCCATTATCTCCACGATTAACAGGCGAGATGGGGACTATAATAGGGGTAGATGACTAATTTTTATTTTAGAGTCCGTCTTTCCGACGATATATTGATTTGAAATGGAAATGGAAATGGATTAGATGCCATGGGATGGCAAAAGAAATAAAGGTAGACCAAAAAAAAGATGGGAAGATATTTTTGTTGAGATTTGTGGGACCATATGGAGAAGAGAAGCAAGAGACAGAGTTAAATGGAGAAAACTGGGGGAGGCATACGCTACTGAGGCGACTTCCACAAACTATTTGTAACCCTACTGGGAATTTATGTAATTTAATTTGTTTTATTTTTTTTTAAGGGGGAAAATCATCGAACGACTGCTCCCGCCTGGGTGAGGCGGGAGGGAGTGTCAGACTCTTACTGACTAAAAACCACCCCGTTCCTTCTCCTGCACGTCGAGCCGGAGCCCCGGTTACCCGTTAGGTTCTCCGCGACATTTTTTTTTGTTTTATTTAGCTAATTTGAGTTAACTCGTTGAGTACCGTCATTATAGACACAATTATAGAACAATAGGTTGCGGTCACCGGTGTCCTCACAGTGTTTGACAGTTAACTCGTGGAGTACCGTCATTATAGACACTATTATAGAACAATAGGTTGCGGTCACCGGTGACCACTTGGTGTTTGACAGTTTAATTTGAAATGATATATTAATCGAAATGTAATATTGATTTGAATACATGACATTTTGTGATAGAATAAAGGCTATTTTTATTTTATTTTATTTTTATTTATTGGTTTGAAATATCGTGTGACCTCATTTCTAGGTACATTTTATACGTAGAAATTACTTTTGGCTCCCACTCCCAAACTTTCATTATTTTTATTTATGTAATATTTTCTTTTACGACAAAATAGAAATACGTGGTCAATATTTTTTAGTACCTAATTGACGGACTAAATAGAATTTTAATATTCATAATCTGCCATCGTTCCTATTTAAAAGGTTCAGGGGGCTTACTCCTGAACCCAATTCCGATCGATCGACATTGGTATTGTGAAATTTCATAGCTACTCTTGAGTTGCAACACTAGCGCCCATTGCATCCGTATTGCGTGGATATAGAATGAACTAAATGGTATTGAGTTTGGCTTTATATTCCATACCCCGAATGATTATTTAACGGCTACGATAATTGTATAGTATTGACATTAACTCGTCGAGTACCGGTTTTGTAGACACAATTATAGAACAATAGGTTGCCGTCACCGGTGACCGCTTGGTGCTGGACAGTTTAATTTAATTATTGAGATTTTATTGCATTGACATTGAAATTGGTTTCAAGCACCCAGACAGGGCGTTACTGTCCGATCCTCATCAAATGTGTAGTTCCTTACTTGATTCTTAAAACTCCAGGAGAAGAAGTAGGGGTACTTAGAAATATATTATATTCTGTCAGTAGTATATCACTTATGAATACCTATGTATAGTAATCTTTTCTGCTATATCAAGGAGAGGAAATTACCAATGGAAGGTCTGATGATGACAACTGGAAGGATCCCTTTATACTCAGCTACTACATTCTCAGCCAGCTGCTTGGAAAACGTGTAGGTGTTGGGTAGCTCTCCTAGGTATCTGAAATATGAGACAATAGGTTTTTTAAATACATAATTAAAAAGATGAAGTTTCAGTCGACGCGAGAATAAATAAAGCATAATAATACAATAAAGCATCCAAACTTATGAATGTCCTGATACGCAAATAAACAGCACTGCATTTTTTTATGGGCGTTACAAGTACGTTACCGGCCTTTTGGCATTAGGAATTTGAGGATTGTTGGGATTTAAGGATTGGGGTAAGGAGGGAGAGTAATTGGGCCTCCGATAACCTCACTTACACGACGAATCACAACGCAAGCGTTGTTTCACGTCGGTCTTCTGCTCGGCCGTTGTATTCCTCCGGTCGTATATTTGTCATTTTTATCCTAGTTATTAAGTACCTAAATTGTGTTTTTATTTTGTTTGTAATTTATGTACCTAATAGTATTTCTAAATCTTTAATGTATTAGTTAATAGTATTCGATGTGACCCTGAAAAATGCATAAATAAAAAAAAATCGAATTTATAAAGAGGAGGTACTATGTTCGTATGATTGTTTATTCATGGCATAATGACCGAAGTGGGTGATATAATCAAAGTTGAAATTATTTTGATTCTGATTTAATTGACATTTCTTTGAAATCTTGACGATAATTTGACATTTTATTATATTATATTTTGTATTAAATTATTATTATTAGACTTAATATGGCATAGATACTAATTAATTTTTGTTGTTAACTTGTTTTGTTAATCAGACATATGATAATTATATAGAAAATTGAACTTGTTAAATTCTCATTTTAATGTGTGTATGGTGAGGACTATTGTTGTTATTTTCTTTTCCATAATTCTCAAATTGGATTTTATTTTTAAGCCACTGTTAAGCCTATGAATTGCCAATGCTATATGCACGCCATTATTGTCGCATGCATCAGACCTTTATTTTGTTACTATTGTATATTTTGAATGTTATATGTTTGTGATGTGGCTGTACTCCTTCAAATAAATAAATAAATAAATAAACAAAGTCAATATTAATTCCAGTTGTCACAGCGTCAAACTCTTTTTTGCCAAGCTGTACTTTGCCTTTGGGGGATTGGAGGACTAGGAGCCCGCGTATAATCTTATTCATACAGTAAACACGACTTAGGCGTTTTATCCTAGCAGTTCCTAGTGAGGGCACCATGGTAATGGTACCATTCTGGTCGAACCAACCCATTCATAGCATAGGAAGCAAAGCATACATGCATTCACCAGTTTATCTCAATAAATCGATGAGGGTTTTGGAAACCCTCAGGGACTGCCTCGTTGGCCGAGTGGTCGCAAGTGCGACTGCCGGGCAACGGGTCTTGCAACAGGTCGGAAAAGTACCTATAACAGGGTTTTTAAAAAATCTCAGTAGTAGCACGGAGTCTGGAATTGTGTCCGGTATATGGCAATAAGCTCACTCCCTATTACATGGGACTAATAACATAAATAGTGAAAAGTGGGTGTTACTTCTGTGTGCACCTCTGCCTATCCTTTCGGGGATAAAAGGCGTGATCTTATGTTGTATTTTATGGTTCTGGAAATTCCACTTACTTCGGAGTAAGGATCCTTAAAGTATGAGGGTCTATGGTATCACAGATCTCGAGGGTCTCCCTCCAGTCAGCGTGAGGAGGATAGATGATCTCCTCCAGAGTCTCCCTGTTGGTGTTGGAGTATGAGGTTGAGACGTGGATGAAGACCTGACAATAAAGAGATAATTCATAAATTAATATACTTTTTACTCATCATCAACAGCCACTGCTGACGAAAGGGCCTATTCTCGCACTAAAAGAAAAAGTTTGAGCATTAATCACCACGCTCCCTCAATGTGGGTAGGCGGTTTCAAACGTATAATTAGAAATTAGAAATCCAGGTTTCCTCACGATGTTTTCCTTCACCGTTTGTCAGTGGTGTCTAGATAATTTTAGAAAGTACGTATAACTCGGCAAGAGTCACATTGGTACTTGCCGTTGGTAGGTTTTTCGGGCGTCTTAAACCTCCGGGCCACCACGACAACACAATAACGTTTTATTGCTAATATTATAAATTCGAAAACGCGTTTATTGTTAACGAAATATTTCCTATTGACCTCAGCCACCTGGCAATGGAATGGAACATGGAACTTGTATAATAATATGGCATAAATTAGAAAAAAAAACTAATTAGTTAATTAATTTTAAATAACGATAAGATAATTAAAAATTTCATTATTTAAAAATATTGTAATTAGATTAATATATTTTAACAAGCCACTTAATTCCCGAACTTGCAAACAAAGGTCAAGGAGGCCCCGCTCAGCGGGGCTCCTGGTGAAAATTATAAAATAATAAATAACGAAGGAATAGGCAAAGGTCTTAACCAAGTTTTTACCAGTACGGATATTATTATAGTCCCATGTAATAGGGGGGTGAGCCTAATGCCATATACTGGGCACATTTCCAGACTCCGTGCTACTAATTAGATTTTTTTTAGAAACCCAGTAATACTTTGTCCGACTCAGAAATCGAAACCGAGACCCCTAGCCCGGCAGTCACACTTACGACCACTCGGCAAGGTAGTCGGCCCAACTAATAGCCAATGGGCCAACAGCCCCTATTACATGGGACTCATAACATAAATAGTGAAAAGTGGGTGTTACATTGAACAGTGGCATTAAGTGCCGTACACCTATTATCCGCTGGGGACAAAAGGCGTGATAATATGTATGGTATCATTATAGTCACATGTAGTAGGAGGTGAATCAATTCCAACAGGGCACAATAGCAGCCTTCGGATAACTAATATGTTATCAAAATCATTGTCTAACCAGGCACCACCAATCCATACTGGAACTTCTTGCACAGAAGTTATACTTCCGACCACGTATCCAACGAGGTAGTCGATATTGTTTACTCACATTTAAGTTCTTGATGTCTGCGGCCAGTTCCACCATCTCCTTAGTACCTCTGAGGTTCATACGGATAGCATACTCCAGGGGATCGTTGAATCTAGGAAGAATTAAGAATGGTTTATAGTGTATGTGCCTTTTTTAGCCAAATGCCACTTTAGCGCTTGTCTGCAGAGAGAGTAGAAATCAAAATGTATGGGGATGACACTGACACGTGAATTCCATATAATTTAGTTTTCTATTCTACAAGGTGACAAGCGATAAATGGCATTTGGCTACAGCTGCAGGTCTTTTAAGGGATAAGCAGGCAAACGAGTAGACGGATCACCTGATGGTAAGCAATTAGCGCCGCTCAAGGACACTTGGAAAACCAGAAGCCTTATGGGAGGTTAACGATTTGAGGATTGGGGATTCTGAGGTGTAAATTATCGTACATGAAAGACGTACAATAGAAGTTGAGAGGTCGGCTCGGAGCATGGCATAAGCTGTAGGTAAAAGCTAGTAAAAATATAAATTATACAAAATGGGATAACAATATCCATACCTAACACTAGCTGCGACATGGTACACAATATTTACACGTTTGATGATCAGCGCGCGGTCCTCTTCAGACATACCTGAAATGAAATATTACGTGTGTGAGAGAGCCATACTTCGGCACAAATGTGCCGGCTCGACCGGAGTGATACCATGGCCTCACAGAAAACCGACGAGAAACAACGCTTGCGTAGTGTTTCGTCATGTGAGTGAGGTCACCGGAGGCCCAATTACCCTCCCCTTCCCCAATCTCCCCAATTCCTGAAGCCCCAACGAACCTCAAACTCCTAATCCCCAAAAGGCCGGTATCGCACTTGTAACGCCTCTGGTGTTCAAGGTGTCCATGGGCGACGCGGATTGCTTACCATCAGGTGATCCGTCTGCTCTTTTACCGGCTTTAAAATCATAAAATTATCGAATGACTGCTCCCGCCTGGGTGAGGCGGGAGGGAGTGTCAGATTCTTACTGACTAAAAACCACCCCGTTCCTTTTCCTGCACGTCGAGCCAGAGCCCCGGTTACCCGATAGGTTCTCCGCGACATAGTATAGACATAGAAGTGACTCACCCAAACCAAGTTCCATAACATCTCCAGCGATTACAAATACTTTGGATTCGAAGCCGGGACTCTCTTTGCGGAGTCGGTCGAACAACTGAAACACGATATATATTAGTATGACTGCCTCGTTAGCTGAATGGTCGCAAGTGTGACTACCGGGCAAGAGGTCTCGGGTTCGATTCCTTGTGTCTAGCAAAGAATTACTGGCACTCTCTTTCTTTTGTAAGGGGGAAAATCATCCTGGGTGAGGCGGGAGAGAGTGTCAGACTCTTACTGACAAAAAACCACCCCGTTCCTACTCCTGCACTTCGAGCCGGAGCCCCGGTAACCCGTTAGGTTCTCCGCGGCTCCGTATCGGCATCAGCCCTATTGGGGCCCCATCTGTGGTGGTCTGATGGCTCTTTGAGGCGCGCGCGGAACGTGTCGCGCCGAAAGTTCGGGATTACTGGCACTCTTGGCATCCGCACCAGAGTGTGATTTGTCCGCAGTGAGATGGAAGGATGTATCTCGTGAATGTGTAAGATTTTGTGAGAAGATGGATGGCTGATGCATTAGTTTTAAGTAATTATAATTATTGTACTTTTTAAACTACACCTATTACATAAAAATGTAAAGTAGCCAATTATTTTAATAGGGTAGATGACTGATTTTTATTTTAATGTCCGTCTGGTAGGTTATTTATAAACATTAGACACGTATTTTTGATTTTATTACAGAAACGAATACTTTCGACGATATTATATTGATTTGCAATGTTGCGTGACGTCACTTCTATGTACATTTTATATGGAAAAATGAATTTTTAGCCCCCACTGCTAAACTTTGATTCGTTATATTATTATCTAAGTATCATTTTATTATACAACAAAATAAAAAAATACGTGTCTAACATTTTTTCATTACCTAACTGACGAACTAATTCGATTTTTAATTTTCATACCCTGTCATCATCCCTATTGTATAATGTTTTGGCTTGTGCTATAAAATTATGCTTGTGCTAATGAATATTAAATAATAATAAATATTAATGAAGAATTTGAAACCAACATTAACCTTTTGCGCTTGTTTTATTGAACATGTCAATGTGAAATTTGGTTTAACTTAATTATAATTTGATTAGCTGACCCAGCCAACTTCGTATCGCCTAATAATTTTTTTCTCTCCTTGGACTTCCACGAACATTTTAATACCAAAATTAATCAAATCGGTTCAGCTGCCTCGAGTTTTAGCGGGACTAACGAACGGAAATTCATGTATGTGGATATACGATTTTTTAACTGAAGGTAGTTGAAGGGATGGATAGTCACATAGGCTACTTTTTATCCTTTTGTGACGCGAGCGAAGCCGCAGGTAAAAGCTAGAACATCATAAATTGATTATGATCGTAGCAGATTTGATCCAACACTTGCAGATAGGTATGTTCCAAAAAGAACTTTCACATGACAATACTTACAGGCACAGAAAAGATTTTAGACAATCTATCTTCTGGTGTCACTCCCTTCTTGCTTCTCAGAAGAACGTAGATCCTGTCCAGGTCTGGGCAGGAGTACAGCAGCTTCTCCACCAGGACTTTGCCCATAAATCCTGCGATGAAGAAGAGTATTTATTTTAAATTCATCAGCTTGTTGTAAGAACAAGTTATTTAGCTATTTAGGGATTTGTTCATTGTAATTCAAGGGGTGACATTATCACTACCTATGTGATTAAACTGTCAAACACCAAGCGGTCACCGGTGACCGCAACCTATTGTTCTATAATTGTGTCTACAAAACCGGTACTCGACGAGTTAAATCACTTAAATAACGATTAGGATCACCTATAGAATAGTTAATATATAGGTATAGTTATAGCTCTAAGTAATAGTTATAAATTTCAGCTGACAGTACATTTTGTAAGGTTTTAAATTGCTGCGCCCTAACAGGGTAATTTACTTAATTAGTTGTATGTAATACTTCCTATTATATGTACATTGTGCAATACGAATAAATAAATAAATAAATAAAAATAGTATTTCTTCTGCAATTCTCGCCCTATCGGAGGTCATCCTATCACAAACTCCTTTCTTTTACTTAACATACACACAATATATTCATCTTTTATTTGGTTTCTTTAATTATTTATTACACTTTGATTATATTATGTCTAGATAGAGCGGCACCATACAATAGCTACAAAAATGACGTTCCACAATTTCTTGCATATGTGCGTTCACACACGTGCACCAGCCGCCCGCTTGTGCAAAAATGATACCAGCTACGACAAAAAATCTCCCATCTTTATATCTGAAGTAAAATAATAATTAACTCGTCGAGTACCGGTTTTGTAGACACAATTATAGAACAATAGGTTGCGGTCACCGGTGACCGCTTGGTGTTTGACAGTTTAATTTCATTTTTACCGACTTCAAAAAAAGGAGGAGGTACTATGTTCGGCTGATTGTTTTTTTTTTTTTTTTTTTGTTTGTTCGCGCAGTACTCCGCCATTTGTGAACCGATTTCCAAAATTCTTGTTTTGTTTGAAAGGGTATACTCCCGAGATGGTCCCATTTCCATGAGGTCAGGATCTGATGATGGGATCCTAGGTAAACCGAGGGGAACTTTCGAAAATTCTATGGGCAAGTAATGCGTCTATTATGTTTTTCAATTAGGATTTTGAAACACTACAATTTGATAAGGGTCTGGAGTTGACCTGATGATGGAGCCGACAAGCAGTCGAGGGAACTCCTCAGAGGTTTATATTAACTACCTTGAGTTTGGGCTTGATTAATTTGGATTGATGAGGACTTTACACCTAAATAGAGTAGGGCTGTCATTAAGGATCTGATGATGAAGAAGTGTAATTGTTAAAGCAACTCCTTAACGGTATACAGTAACTACCTTGTGTTTGGGCTTGATTAATTTGTATTGATGAGGACTTTACACCTAGATAGAGTGGAGCTGTCATTAAGGGTCTGATGATGAAGAAGTGTAATTGTTAAGGGAACTCCTTAACGGTAAACAGTAACTACCTTGTGTTCGGGCTTGTATAATTTGTATTGATTAGAACTTTGCACCTATGTAGATTATAAGTAACAAAACGGGTATAATTATGTAGCTTTACACTAAAAATGATAAAATAATAAAATAAAAACTGCGTTTAAAAAACCGACTTCAAAAAACCAAAAACTAATAACAAACAAAAAGTCAATACTAAAAAGCAAAAAATAACTATTATTAGTACTGATAGGTTACCCACCCACTGATAGGTTAGAAGTCGGTGCCATAAGCTCATATTATAATGATATAACTTAATGCCCACAAAATTGTGAATTAGGTACCTATTAAGGTTTTAATGAATAATTTTGTATGGAACTTATGGCACCGACTTCTTACCTATCAGTGGGTGGGTAACCTATCAGTACTAATAATAGTTATTTTTTGCTTTTTAGTATTGACTTTTTGTTTGTTATTAGTTTTTGGTTTTTTGAAGTCGGTTTTTTAAACGCAGTTTTTATTTTTAAAGTTTTTTTTTATTGGACACTTTGTTGATATTTATTTATATTTTGTCATATAAGTCCTTGATAAATAATCTTTGAAGGAAGTCGTGCTGTGATCAATTTAAACGGCTTTTCAACCGACTTCAAAAAAGGCGACTTCTCACCTAACTTCTGACTTCTAACCTACCAGTGGGTGTGTAAGCTATACGTACGAGTACGACTGACCAATAATAGTTATTTTTCCTTTTTTTTTGTACTTTTCGTTTATTTTTGGTTTTCGAAGTCGGTTTTTTTAAAAGCAGTTTTTCGGAATACGTTATTTGATTAAAAATGTGTTTTATATGCCTTGTAGAACTATTTGTTTTACTTTCTTGTTGTTGAAGCATACATACATGCTGGTCAAACTAGAGGTAGAACCTTCCTTTTTTTTTTTGAACTCGGTAAAAAAATAAAAAAAAAACTTACCCGAAGCGCCAGTAATAAAAATAGTTTTTCCTCTATAAAACTCCGGAATACTAGGCACGCCACTCAAATCCCTGTCCTCTAAAAAGCCCATTTTCAACCCAAAAAAAAATCAAAATTAGAACAAAGAACACAACAAATTCAAATGAAAATATTCCAAAATTAAAATGGGTACTGTAACCGTCAACTGTATTTAACGAACTGAGTTTGAATTTAATTCTGTGTTCCATATTTAAATGGCAAATTGTTATCTATATCTATACTTCTATACTAATATTATAAAGAGGAAAGATTTGTACCTATTTTTGCATGTTTGTATGTTTGTAATGAATAGGCTCAAAAAGTACTGGGCCGATTTAAAAAATTCTTTCAGCAATAGAATGCTACATTCTTCCAATTTGACATAGGCTACAATACATTTTGAAAAAAATTAGGAATCCTTGGTAAAATTTGAACAATGTAACCGAAGGTGTAGAAAAATGAGTCTTAAAATGTCTTTCGTCGAATGCGCTGCCGAAACTATTAGCGATAGAACAAAATAATGTACAACAATATTGAAAAACATCATAATGTCTACAAAAAACTCCGCGGTAGCATGTGTACATTGTAGTTATGTCACTACAATAATCCAAATTTCCAAAAATAAATAATTGTCTACCCCGTGCGTAGCCGTGACGGGCTGCTAGTTGATTATAATTTTAATATGTCATGGAGGGTTATTTTTTTATCCAATACAAATTGAGTAGTCATAATAACTCAATTATTATTAGGCTTATATCTTTTTGAGTTTGTTGAATGTTGAATAACAATCTCATTAACGTTCCCGTTTATTCTGAGGATGGGCAGGATAGATTTAAATGCGATCATTACAAAAATTTGTTGTCGTGGTATGAACAAATATCTATCTTTTTTATATTATGTTGTAATGAATGACTGACTGACATAGTGATCTATCAACGCACAGCCCAACCCACTGGCCGGATCAGGCTGAAATTTGCCAAGTAGATATTATGACGTAGGCATCCGCTAAAAAATTTTTAAACATTTCCACCCCACAAGTGAATAAAATAGGGGGTGAAAGTGTGTATGGTGCTTTGTCAGTTTTAAATCGATCGTGCTGAAGACTTTGCATGCATAATAAACGACATAGGTATCTCATAAGAAAGGATTTTATAAATTCCACCCCTAAAAGAAATAAGAAGGGGGATAAACACTGAACTTATTTTACAGAGATTCGGTACAACAATAGTCGATAGAATAGTTTTTACCACTCAAACCTTACAACGAGCACTGTACTGGCTTACCAGTACAGTAAAAAATAAATAATCTTATTTATTTTTTGAAACCACGATAAATCATTTCACAATCGAGGTATATCTTACTTGGGCAGTGAATTGATTCTGATGAATTTTATCAGAAGTAATTATTCTAAGCGAATGAAGTCGCGGGCAATAGCTAGTGTTTATTGATCATTTACATTAAATCCAGGGTGTACATAACGCTTCCAAAAAAAGGAAACAAAAAATAAGTTGATACAATTTTAATCAATTTTGTTTTCAGTTATAATTATAATTAATATAATTCAAGCACGGAT